GCCTCTTGGGAGTTTCTTGGACGCCTGCTGGCGGTGTCGGGGGTCCTCTTGGGGCGGAGGGCTCGGAATATCAGGTCGAGTTGCCTCTCTTGGGCCACATTTTTGTATATCTCTCTTGGGCCATCTTGGGCGCTTCTTGGACCGTTTTGGGACCCTCTTCGGCTGTCTTGGGGCCCTCTTGGGCCTCTCGGAGTGATCTTGGAGGCATCCTGAGGCGTCTTGGATGCTTTCCAGACCAAAAGTGCGAATTCGCTCAACACATACGCGTTCCCGAAGGATTCGGACGCATTCTTTCTTCTAGGGGCCCTCTCGGGGATCGTCTTGGAGCCCTCATTTGGCGTCTTTGACGCCTCTTGGGGCAGTCCTGAGGCCATCCTGGTCGTCGTTGAGGACTCCTCGGCGTGTTGGAGCCCAGCTGGAGCGAGCTCAGACGGCATCTTGGGGGCATCCTGGAGGCCACGGACTCTAGATTTGGAGGCTTCGGAGGCCCCCCCCCCCGCCCCCTCCCCCCTCTCTGAGCGAATCTCAAACCCCAAAGGGAGGGAACAAGGAAGGGGGGCAGCCAATCGTCGGTCACGCCTTTTGCACCGCCGGCAAGCGGGGGTCGGCGGGCCTTCCCCCCCGAGGGGGAAGGAGAGGGGGGAGGCGGAGGAGGCGGAGAAGGAGGAGGAGGAGGAGGAGGAGGAGGAGGAGGAGAGGTAAGGAGGGGGAGAGGATAGGAGGGATGAGGCGTAGGATGCGATGAGCGAGGCGGAGGAGGCTGGACGAGCGGGAGGAGACAGGAGACAGGAGCAGTGGCAGCGCCCGGAAAGCTTGCGGCCGCCGGCCTCGTTAGACGCAGCGGCCGACGACGACCTGGCTGACGTGATGGACGTCGTTTCTCCTTTCTCTTCCTCCTGCTCCTCGTCGTCGTCATCATCACCACCATCATCATCAGCATCATCATCATCATCATCATCATCATACATCAACATCCATCATCACCATCATCATCATCATCAGCATCATCATCACCATCACCATCACCATCACCATCATCATCATCATCATCATCATCATCATCACCATCACCATCACCATCACCATCATCATCATCATCGTCATCATCATCATCATCATCATCATCATCATCATGTTCATCATCATATTCCTCAGCATCCTCATCATCATCACGATCATAATCACCGTCATCAGCATTACTGGCATCATCGTCATCATAATCGTCGACGTCGTCACCATCAGCATCACAGTCACCATCAGCATCATCATCATCATCGTCATCATCATCGTCATTTTCATCATCATCATCATCATCATCATCAGCATCCTCATCATCATCACGATCATAATCACCGTCATCAGCATCACCGGCATGATCATTATAATCTTCGACGTCGTCACCATCATCACCACACTCACCATCAACATCATTATCATCGTCGTCAGCATCATCGTCATTATCATCATCATCATTATTATCAGCAGCTTCCTCAGCACCACCATCGTCATCATGATGTTCATCATGATCGCCATGATCATGACCATCATCATCATCATCGCCATCATCACAATCATCTCCATTATCAGCAACACCTCCATCATTATTATCGCCACCATCCCTGTCATCATCAGTATCATCATCATCACCATCATCATCGTCATCATCGTCGCCATGACCAATATCATCTTCCCCATCATCATCATCATCATCATCATCATCAGCATCGCCATCACCATGACCATTTTTATCAACACCACCATCACCATCACCATCACCATCATGATCATCATCGTCATCAACTCCATCATAATCGTCACCATCAGGATCATCAGCTTCATCATCGTCGTCATCATCAACATCACCATCACCATCATGACCATGGCCACCACGCTCATCATCATCACCACCACCGATGCCATCAACAGTAGCATCATCGCCACCGCCACCACCACCATCACCACTATCAGCGTCGTCATAGTCGTTACCGTCAGTTTCATCATCATCATTCTGGTCAAAAACATCATCAACATCGTAGCATCATCAAACACATCAGCATCACCACTATCGTCGTCATCACCTGCATTTATCACTTCCACCATCATCATAAACATTATCTTCATTCGCATCATACTCATCATCAGCATCATCCCCATCGCTGTCACCATCATCAGCATCATCACCACCACTGTCATCACCATCCTTATCATCAGCATAGTCGTCACCATCAGACTCATCATCATCATCATCATCATCATCATCCTGGTCAGAACCATCATCATCATCGTTATCATCATCATCAACATCGGCATCACCACTATCGCCGTCATCCATCACCTTCATCATCACTTCCACCATCATCACACTCATGATCCTCCATATCATTATACTCGTCATCAACAATTCGCATTCCCATCATCAACATCACCATGAATATCACCATCATCACCATCATCACCATCATCATCATGTCCATCATCATCATCATCATCATCATCATCATCATCATCATCATCATCATCATCAGCATCATCATCATCATCATCATCATCATCATCATCATCATCATCATCATCATCATCATATCAGCATCATCATCATTCCCTTTTCCGTCGCCATTCTTCCCCCCCTCCTCTTCTCTGCCCCTCTCCGCTCGCGAGGCATCCGCTCGGCGGAGGCGGAGAAGGTCGGGCTCGTGCACAGGGTGAAGATTTTCCGCGGCTGCGACGAGCTCCCACAGTCGGCGGCGCGCCCGCGGGGCAAGGCAGAAGTTCTTGGGGGCCTTGGCATCGCTCGGATGTGTGCATTTGTTCTCCGCGAGGGACATCTAGAAACATGTTGGATCAGATGGCGGAAGAATGCACGAACGAAATTGAATCATGCGCGGGACAACGGACGTGGGAGCAATTCAAATGGGCGAAGGTTCGGAAATTGTCGGGAGTTCCCCTTGGTCTCCATAGGTTTTCTCGCCCTGGTATGCTCTCCAGCAGCTGTGCTTTGTCAAGAGCTTTCTGGGGGTGCCCAGATCGTCCCGAGCCGACGCTGTATACCAGTTTTTTGATTGAAAAGCCGCCACCGCCACCGGCCTTCTAAGAAGGCTCAGAAGGCTTCTGGCCGTCCGAGAAGGTTTCGAAGCCTCCTCTTAAGTCGGGCGTGTCCCTCTACAGGAGGAATATTCAGGCATAGTCAAGAAAAGGGTACGAGGACGGTTTCTCTATGATTTTTGGAATATTTCCTCAGCAGTTGTTGCGCATGTTCTGTTGTTCGTCCACGCGCGGCCTGCAGGGGGACACGCCCGACCGAAGCCTCCTCCGAAGCCACAGGCGGGCCTCTCAGAAGGCCGTGGGGGCTCTCAGAAGCCCCGCCGGCTTCATAGGCGGCCTGCCCCCTCTTCACTTCCCTCCTCGGCGCGCCGCCGGGCAGAGCTCGACCGTTGCGGGGGCCGGACTCGAGTCGGGCTCGGAGGTCTGCCGGGAGAAAGAGACCGCCACAACGACGTCGTCGTCGTCGTCTCGGAGGTTTCTCGGGATTTCTGGCGGTTCCCGTCGTCACGGCCGGGCGCGGTGTGGAAAACGACGCAGGATGGATCCCGGGAGGTGTCCGAGACCAGATTTTGTGGGGATTTTTGGGGGATCGCCATGGGGAAAAGGGGGCCTCCACAGGTTTTTGTTGTCCCTCTTTCGGCCTCTCGGGGTTATTCTTGAGCCCGGGGAGAGAGGGAGGGAGGGAGGGAGGGAGGGAGGAGGAGGAGGAGGCCGGGGGAGAAGGAGGGGGAGGGACGAAACTCTGGGGTCCAGGACCCGTTTTCCCATTTTCCTCCTCCTTCCCTCGGTGGTAACGAGGTGCTTGCGGTGTCGCTGGCCCTGCCCCGACGATGGAGGCGTGCAGTCTCGCAGCCTGGGGACCTGGTCTACTACGTTGACGAGGTCGCGCTCTTCCTACTCCTCCTTCTCCCTCTCCTACTCCATTCCTTTTCCTTAAATATCTTCTCCCTGTCGCTCCCCGAGGCCAGTTTTTAGGACGGTCTGGGCGTTTCGCCTGAGACTTCGCCACCATTCATGACCATGAAGCTTAAACATTAACAACCGCTTCACGGA